CGTTTGGAGTGGCTTGCTTTCATCGTGAAACCCAGAAAAAGAAAACCAAATCGTAAACAGAAACCCCAAAAATGTGAAGAATTGCGTATTTTCTGACATCTGAAAGAGAATACTACTTACTTATGCACCAAGGGAGAGATGTGCTGACAAGGTAGGTAACAGATGTGAAAGTATCTTGGGCAGAAGAGGGCACTTGCTAACAAATTGCACTCAGGCCACCACCACAACCCCCATGCTCTTTGCTTTTGTTTGCATAATTTCCATGGTACTTACAGGCGGAGCCGCAACAGGTAAGCTACCGTCTTCCCCCGAACACAACGCACCCTCATTTTGGCTGAACCTGACCGGAATATAGGTTGTGTACGGTCATTATCAGGGGCGTTATGTTCGGGGAAGACGGTAGTGCTATGATATCAAGCCGAAGATGGGTAATGGTGGCCCCAGTAATCTTCCGGGGTATTTGTGAGGTGATATAAGAAATAACCACCGGCCTCGACACTTTTTTTTTTTTTTTTTTTAATCCAATGCAATTCATTAATGAGCTTGTGAAAGAGGCCGGGGACCTCACAATTCAACCCGGAATACTGACAGCATCTTGCCTCGACACTTTCCATTCGCAATAGATTGACTCAATTCTTAAAAAAAAAAAAAAAAAGGAAAAAAGAACAAAAGAAAAAAGGAAAGAAAAAGGAGAAAAAAAGAAAAAAGAAAAAAAAAGCAGTGATAACACAAAAGCAAAAGCAAACGGCGGAAAACACAAACAGCTGGGGCGAGGCGACTCTAGGAAAGAGGAGTGGATTTAACGCTTGAATGAATCTGGATGTGTTTGTGGAGAGGTGCAGAAAATCGCGATTTATCTGTTTTCCTTCATCCAATCCGCTTTGCTACCCTCTTCATCCGGATACAACGTACGGTCACCATAACTGTATTTGGGCTATCTTCCAGTCTAAATACAGCGATTATGACCGTATGTTCTATTTGGGTGCAGACGGTAGTGGGACCTGGTCCCTGTTGCGTTTATTATGAAATCTAAAGCGGGGGAGGGAGGAGTCGTAAACAGTCAGGGGGTACTGATACTAGGACTTTCCGGGATGTATCTGGCTGGAATTCCACCTTGATCTGGATGTATCTGACCGCAATTACGTCCAGATCTCAGTCGAAAAATTCCTAGTGCGAGTATGTTCTCAGTCAATTGGGACGGTCATAGCTGCGAAGTGGGCACATCCATATTTCCTCGACAGTCTGAGGGCATACTACCTTAGCATTTGGACTTTTTTTTTTTCCACATCTCTGTGGACGTATTTGCGATCAGGTGCATCCAGGCTGGGCCGGAAACGCGGTCATAAGAAAGAAGATAAAAAAAAACGAATTCATTTTTCTTTCTTTTTTCGCTTTTTTTCGCTTTTGCGCTCTGATATTCATGTGACGATATATACATCCAGCAACAAAGTCCTACCGTCTTTCCCCGAACACAACGCACCCTAAAAATGAATGTAAACAAGCTATGTTTCCGGCCAGATACAGCCAAAATAAGGGTGCGTTGTGTTCGGGGGAAGAGGGTAGTGTGAGTATGCGCTGGGTCGAAGGTATGTGACGATTTGCTGCGATGGACGCTCCCATGCTCGCTACCGGCTTCCCCCGAATAGAACGCACGGTAGTTATATATCTGTATTTGAGGCGACTTTGAGTCTACATTCGGCGGTAATGAAGGTGCGTTCTGTTCGGGGGAAGACGGTAGTCTTTTACAGCACTATAAACTGCCGTCTCGAATATAACGCCGGGTGGTCATTCTCGCCGTATCGAAACTGAGAGTTGGCCCGTATACATACAGCTATATAATGACCGGGCGTTCTATTCGGGGGAAGACGGTAGTGATGTGTAAAAATCATCGCCATCGCCATTAAAAAAAAAAAAAAAAAAAATCATCGCCATCTCCACCCAATTTTTGGTGGGTACTTGCTGCGATGATGAACTACCGTCTTGGCCCCGAATACAACGTACGCTACGGTCATTATTGGTGTATCTAGACTGAAAGATACCCCAAATACAGTTATAGTGACCCGTACGTTGTATTCGCGTGAAGACGGGTAGCGATCAAGTCGACCAGCTGTTCAATCCTGCTATATAGTAGGTCCCCTACCTTCTTCCCCCGAACATAACGCACCCTGATAATCAATGTATACAAGCTATGTTTCCGGTCCGGTACAGCCTATAACGTAGGTTGTTTTCGGGTGAAGACGGTAGCGGCGAACATATCGCACCCTGATAATCAATGTATACAAGCTATGTTCCCGGTCCGGTACAGCCGATAACGTAGGTTGTTTTCGGGTGAAGACGGTAGCGGTGAACATNTGTTCCCGGTCCGGTACAGCCGATAACGTAGGTTGTTTTCGGGTGAAGACGGTAGCGGTGAAGTCGATCATCTGTCCAACCCTGTTATATAGTATAGGTTCCCTACCTTCTTCCCCGAACATAACGCACCCTGGTAATCAAAAAATGTGTACAAGCTATCTTTCCGGTCCGGTACAGCCATAATGAGCGTGTATTGTGTTGGGGGGAAGACGGGTAGGCAGTTGGCTCGATCAGGCAGACAGACATGCAGATGTGATTACTGACAGTTTTTCCTCCGAATGTATACAAGCTATCTTTCCGGTCCGGTGCAGCCATTGAGAGGGTGCGTTGTGCTCGGGGCAAGGCAGTAGTCTGGCTCGATCAGGCAGACAGACATGCAGACAGTACTTTTCCCGAACACAATGCACTCAATATTCTGAATGTATACAAACTATCCTTCCGGTTAGGTACAGCCATAGTGAGGGTACTCTGCGTTGTGTTCGGGGCAAGGCAGTAGTCTGTTTGCTCGATCTGGCAGACAGGCAGACGGACATGCATACGTAATTACTGTCAGTTGGGCAGAGAGGCTTCTAGAGAGACTACGGGCTTCGCTCCTGTATCTGGAGCTCTTGATGGTCCCCATACATTCAAAATGTTGGATCCGTTGGACTGTATTTGGGAAACCATGCAGGCCACATACATGCCGAATGTTGAGTAGCGGATCGAGGCCGTACTTGTCCAGCCGAGTGATCCCCTGGAGTTCCCGACTTACTGGCACC